AATAACAAAACAATTGGTATTAATATATAGCATAAGATGCAAACCTTATAATTGGAATAAACGGATCCCATATTCACTTTGTCCTCCTTTTCCACTTTTCGTCCCATTATTTTGAAGAATTCATTTTCAAAATCTCTTAAAACAGTTCTCAAATTCTTCTTCTGAACGCGTGTTTCGGCCAACAGTTGGTTCAGTTCTGTTAACGACATTTCGTGCAAATTATTGCTCTGAAAGTGAATATTCTTCGAGTCTTTGACACTTGATTTTGAACTATTGGTTGAAATGTCATTTTCATCGATAGCACCGGCGGGTAGTTCGCTGGTGGGCTCACTCAGGGAGACGATGGCCTCACTCTTGGAATGGGAGGGAGAGATGAAGTCCATCGCAATGTGCTCTAATATGGGCTGTAATTCTGCGGACTCTTTGCTGCCTTTTGGTACTGTTTTAGCGACCATTCGCTTCACTATTCGGTATCTATTAGTGTGCAAAACGTGTCAATACATCAATACATACATTCAAAACCTCTTGAATTGAAATATCATTTAGAGTACAGACCTGTCATAGAGTGGGCGGACAATCTCGCGCTCGGCTTTAGTAGTCGGCCGACCGAACAGAGCCTCGAACCGAAGCAATGACTTCTGAAGCGTGAGTTTCTCCTCCTGGATCTCCTCCGTTGACATTTGGTCCAGAATTTCGGGTCTATTCGCTTGTTTGCGCTTCTCTTCGATACATCTCTCCATTTCTTTGATGGTTTCGCTGATATTAATCAAAGACTTATTGCAATTGAACTCTTTGGCCTCCAATGGAATGCCGTTATGTTTGTCCATTACGTCCATAAATAAGTCGTCTTTGAATTCCTTGAGATCTTTCTTCAGTTCATTCATTTCGATGAGTTGTGCCCTCACTTCAGGGCACGACATCTTATGCTCGAGTGACGGCCGAAAGCCCTTTTCCCTCTCGAATTCGTGTTCAAAATGTTTTAATTTCTTTTTAATGGTTTGAATTTTCTTAGTTATCGAGCGAATGCTTGTGTTGATGGTCTCGTTGTGTTTGGCGTCACGTATGGGTGTCCTGAAGAACTTCATCTGTTCGTTGGGAGGCGTTGGGGGCACCGTTGGATCCAATTGGATGTTTCGGTTACTTAAATAAGTTCTGTAAGCACTGGGAGACAGCGGCGCCTCATATGAGACGGCTTTCTTCAAGAACTGCGAGACATTATTTGAAGTATTAGGGGCCGAGTGGTCGGGCACTGCCACGCCCTCTGTCTCGTGCGAAGTTCGGGGCCAACTGTACCGGTGCTCAGACAGGATCGGCTCATTTGTTTCCCAACTTGAAAATAATGTCTTGAAGTCTAAGTGAGGAATCTTTTCTTTGAGATCCATTCCTTGATTGCTATTATGATTATTATTATTATTAGTATTATTGTTGTTATTGAGGTTTTCAATGGGAGTAATCTCAAGCAGAGGTCGACTATTCCGGTCATCACTAGTTTGTAATGTTTGACAAGTTTTGAACACAACGTTACTTTGATTCTCGTTTTCATGATTGAGATTCTCCTTCGAAGAGTCAAAGTTTTCATTAAAGTCTTGACAAATATTATCAATTATTTCGTCCAAAGAACTCTGTTTCGCATTTGAATTCAATTCATTGCTCTCAATGTGTCGCGCGTTGTCATCAAACTCACTGTTTTGCACACTTGACTGTCTCTCATGAAGGGCTGACCTCTCATTCCTCTCGCTCTCCAATTCTCTGCGTTTGGCTTCTGGCGGGTGTGGACTCGAAGTGCTGACAAAATTCAAGTTTTCAAATTTGTTCACAGCAGTCATGAATTCATTATTCAACACATTCTCATCACTACTGCATCGACGCATGTCTTTGTCTTTTGAGTCAAATAGCGTTTCTTCAGAGTTGGAGCGCAATGGAGGGGTCGACACACTGGACACACATTTACTTTCTTTGCGTTTTCGGTTTAGAAGACAGTCTTGATTTGTATTGTGAAGAAGAAGAGCCGGAATTTCCATTTCAAATGGATTTTCGTCAGAGTTCTGGGAATCGCTGAGACCCAGGTTTGGTATCTCAACGGTCAGGGGAGACATGGATTGAAAAGCATTGTCCGTTAAGTCAGCACCAAATATCTCAATGAAATTCGTGATGAACAGTGAAACCACTTCATTGGCCTTTGACTGGTCTCGGAGTCCTTTATAGGTTTCGACGCTAACCCTAAACATATTGGGCGCGAACACAATGCCTGCAAGTAATGAGTCCTCAGATAAGAGATCATTAAATGGATGGCAAATGAATGCATACCTAAGTTGGCGGATGTCATGCGGTTCTCCTTCTGGAGAGCGATTCGGTTTAGAAAAGATGACAAATACTTGAGTGTATAATAGTTTTCGTCGGACAGCCTCGAGACCAAAGCCCGCAGATTATGAACGCATTTCTGTTCATCCGTTTCATAATCTAATGATCGAGTGAAACGTTTGTATAAAACAGTGATATATTGAGTGACAGATGACAGACAAGATTGACAGACAAACCATACCTTTAGTGGCTTCCAAGAAGAGTGGAGTGTCTGGAATGAGCGGTTGCGGCAGTTCTCGCAGAAACAACTTCAACAGAGCCGATGCCGAAGGGATGTCGCCATCGGTCTCGAGGTTTGCGTCTCCGGTCGTATCAAACGAATGCTTCAATTTCTCGATCATCTTTGCGTTGCCACTGATCCGGAAGAGCCCCTCCTGTAGGAGTCCTCCGGAGTTTTCGATGAAATGACACAAACGGGTGACGACGTAAGGTATGAAAGGATCTTCATTTGCGTTGGACGTCGAGTGAGATAACACATCCAGAGGTACGCCAAACACTTTGGACTCGGACTGCGAGACTTGAGTAACGGTTTTGTGATAATTGGGTTTTCGTCTCAGCAGTGGTGACGACAGGAGTTTCCGCATCCGATCGATACGACTCTCAGACACACAGACATCGAGACTCTGAACACAAAACAATCAGTGATTGATTGGATTTCAAGTGATTTATCGTATGAATAAAAAACCTTTGAATTGTTAGCGTGAAGGGCTTCATCGGAACCGCTTTGTTCACAATGGGTTACATCTATTGAAGCAGAAGTTCTTCGGATTCGAGACTTCATTTTTCACTGATTAATGGCAATGGTTTTAGGATCAGATAAACTCTATCATAGGTATTCACTTCATTGAAATGCTTACGGATATCATGAATAGTTCACATAATGAGATGAGTTTGTGGTTAATAGTTGACAACAAGTGATGGTTTGTTTGTAAGTATTGAGAAGTTTAGTAAATGACTGAATGTATGGATAACAACAACATTGAGATCGCGGACACAGATTGAGAGACAGATTTCACTCAATTCAGGGCTGTTTTAGCGATCGACACGAAACGATGCGAAGAGACAACATTCGTGTGGGAAATGCCGTCACCAATGGATGGGTGGACACGGATTCTGGTCTCAACTCCTCTGCCAACCACTCATCACACGATTCCCGCGAGGAATCAATTCTATACAATCAATGCCAATATAAATGAGACACAAGTTGTGACAAATTCACGGCAATAATGCTCTCAACACAACTTTACTATCTGTTACCAAGCTCACATTATAGGCACAAATACTTTTCAATTTATAAGTTATAACATAGAGGTTTAAAAATAAAATTTCATATTTTTATAAATGATTGAAAAATACTATTACGGTAATTGATTTGAAAGTACTATATTTCAAACATGTATTTATGTAATTCACTGAAACAATGTCTTATGATTGATTGAATAATTAAATTCAAGGCTATGTTAAATTCAAACAATTTATAATTAATGGGAAGCATGTGAGGAATGTATGATCTGTGGGCACACAACCAATGCAAGTGCTTATCATTCATATGAGTCTGGTGTCCAATCCCTCGAAGACAACTTCTTGGGACAAGAGTTAGTCAAATATATCATGCATAACATGAGGGCTTTAAAGTCAATTTGAATGTGACATAAGTGTGGACACAATCATTCATTAGGATATCTATACCGAAATCACATTGTAGTCATCGATAGCTAGTCTATAGTCAATAGTATTAACACAATACATATGATAAGCTCAAGAATGTACATCACTGTTAAATAGTAATTTAAACAGGTCCATTTATGGATAATATACTACAAATGTATAGCCAGCACCTATTATAATCATAATATATATACTAAATGATGCCACTATCATATTGACCAAGCTATGTTATTATGTAACAAACAATATGATTGCATATTCTGTGTACTAATTGTCATAACAGTCATAATAATCACACAATTGTTTGCATTGAATAAATGCACATATTTATAGCATTTACATAACTGCCAGTTATAATGAGCAAGGGCATTAGCATGAACACTAGCATGGTCATTCGCTAGATCACATTGAAATGGTGAATGTTAGCCGTGTTTAGCATTGAATGACAATTAAGTGCACGACTTGTCATTCAATGACAATACAGTGAATCCTATGGTGTGAATGGGAATACAGTATTACCTGACAGGGGGTCACAGGTGTGGACAGCAGTGTCTTTGGGACCAATCGAGTGGTGAGTTGTAGACAATACGAGTGAATCAACTGAATGTCAACACAATGTGAAGATCACCACAAATGCCATCTTAAGTAAGCCCTCAAACAGACGTCACTGCAGTCCGCATGTGTTGACTGACTATGAAATGCAAACCAATGATTTCCACACCTATTCACGCATTCACTGCACACTCAGCGCCAAAATTAACTCAATTTAATGAACCATTATATTTGATAAGCATTTAGTAAGCAATCAAAATGAGCAAGTACACCATTTAGTCTTTATAATTTAATATTTGTGTTTATTGATCATTAAAAGTACTAATATTTTATAAATGCAGCTTGCTTAATCTTTAATATAACATATTTGTATCAAACAATTCCATCAAAACATTATTATTTAATTAATTGGAATAAAGAAATTGAAATCGTCAAAATGAACTTGGCCAATTTTTACATCTATTTAAATGAATTAGGGTTTATACTTTATTATTCTAATTTAATTAATAATAATAATTGTTAAGGTAAGTATTAAGGAAAATGTGAGTAACATGATAATTTTTTGGAATATACGTAAAGGTACTAGATACCATCATATGGATACCAAGAATATCCTAATCAAACTATAAATTTAATTATGGACCCTGAACCAAACATGATCGAAATGGTTGTGAATAACCCTGGTGCAGTGGTAATCATAAATGCATACAAACAGTGTTTATCCGTAGGATTTCAATGGGATCCCAACGTACGGGTAAAGCGCATGCCTTTCATCCAACTATTTGTTTGCTTCACTATTACGTCATGAGATGTGGTATCAAAACATGGCTAACATTAGCCAATGCTAACCACCAGTGCTTTGCAGGCATACAGAGGTGTCTGAAGGAAAAGCTTGATTTACACGACATTTGCATATGATTTGCATTGAATTTCGTGGCAATGATTGCCAACCAAATTGAAAAGCAGTGAATCCGTGACCAATGAGTGCCGAGGATTGCAGTCTCAATACATGTCTGTCTTCGAGTGGTATCTCATGGGATGATGTGATGACCCATTTCTATGTCATGTCAACGCTTTCCATGTCTTAACATATTATTTGCATTCATTTCAGAGATGCGA